AGCGACAACAAGCTAAAGGATAATTACAACTTGCATCTATCAAGCTGTCTGAGCACCTTTTTCTGCTTGTCAGTGATGGCCGAGCCATTTTTTAAATGAATTCCGAATAGCCAGGCATATAGGGATTGCCAATTCTGCTATGATTAATAGTCAAAAAATGAGGGATGAAGATTGCGGTTTTAGCCATTTCTGATGTAGTGAAAAAAGGTGGATTGAAGAACAGACAGCTCTGCTTGGGATGCGCCGCGCCGCATTCGTCATAGATGTATTTTGCCGAGATGAACTTGATTTTCGGGTTAGAAAAAGAACCTGCTCCTCTTGGTATATGCCGTATTTTCGTAATGTACGTTTAAAAAAAATTCGGTGGAATAGAACGTATTTGTGATCAGAGCGCTGAAAAAACCCTATAGGAGCTCAAAAGAACTGTTTGATCTTCCTAAGAGTTGAGTAGCGCGGTAATGGCGGTCTGGATAGAAATCAGCTATTTTCAGAATTGCTGATCCCTTTGAATTGCTGACCGACCCTCTTCAAGCGGTGGCTGTTCTGAATGCTACTCTGTGAATCAGCTACTAACCCTCCTCGCTGCGCCGCCTCCCATTCTTACAGCAAACGACGACTTCACTCGCACAACAACTTCCTATCCTGCTTTTGCCGCAGGCTCTGGTCAAGTGAAGCCGCAGGAGTGAAGGACTCGGAAGGCCCTTTAAGGCAATCTTCGCTATGAAATCGGTGTATAAGAGCGTTCAGTAATGAAGCTGAAGGTGAGGAGTGGTCTAAAAAATTGGCCGATGCTCACGCTGTCGTAACTGCAGCGTAGCAAACAGCAGCAGAAGGCAGGGCTCGCGAACGAAGGTGTGGGCTGCAAGCCGAGCAAAGTGCCAGCGCCTTTTGGCAGCCCAGCAACCTCAACCTCAACAGCACCAACCAGAGTCAACCCTGCGTTGCGCAGTTCGCAACGGCACGTTGAGAGATCCTCAACGCACGCTGTATGGGCGGAGACGCAGACGGCTCGAGCATGCGAGTGTGAATGTTCGCGCGAGAGAACGTGTCTAATCGGGCGAAACTGCGCAACGCAGGGTTGACTCTGGGCCACAACAATCACGCGCTTTGTTCGCTCTCTCCCAGCGCAGATCGGACTTGAACGGTTGAATCGCACTCCTTTGGCCGCGCTCTCGTGGTAAAGAAGGCGTGAGCCTAAACTCCTAAATATCTCTAAAGACGGGAGCAGTCTTTATATGAAGTGGATATTCGAATTGTCCCACGGACTACAGTCCTTTCAAACGAACGCAGCACATTGTCATTTAAAGGACGAATTCACGATGAAAAAGCAACCCATTTCAAATTAACCTAGGGATGGTGAGTGGTACACGAAAGAAGGAAGAACCATGAGAAACGGCCCAGAACCCGAGAAATGGTACCCCTTCCTTGCCCGTTGATTCGAGCATTGATGCGACTCTCATCGCTGTGCCCTCTTCAACACTACGCTCTCTCAGCTATCTAATCACTCGCCACGTATTGAACTACGGCGAGTGATCAGATGATCGGTGGGCGGAGATCGCCGGACCCGCCAGCTTTGAGGCATGATAGGTCGCCGAGGTCAAATTTTTCCATGCGAATTGCGCGTCAGTTCGCACCCTCAGGAGGTCCGTGGGTCCCTCAACTAGGTCAGTTTCCCTTTCTTCGACCTTCATTCTAATCGTGAATTCCTCCTTTGACGATTGTCCGGAGACCGTTTTTATAGGGAGGGTAGTTCTATTTGCTCCACTGCTAATGACGTTGAGCCGCAGTGCTCACGCTGTCGCAACTGCAGCGTAGCAATCAGCAGCGGAAGGCAGGGCTTGCGAACGAAGGTGTGGGTTGCAAGCCGAGCGAACTGCAAGCGCCTTTGTCGCGCACTTTCCAAGCCGCAAAGAGGTACACACCAACGCTTGTTCGCCTCTCTGCCACCATCGGGAATGGAACAGGTGAGCGCACCTGTCCATGCTCGCGTGGTAAAGAGGCGGTGAGCCTAAACCCCTACCTTGCCTCTAACTAAGGACGGGGAGCAATCTCTATACGCAGTGGATATTCGAATTGTCCCACGGACTTCAAAAGTCTTTCACGAATCAGCACATTGTATTAAAGTACATTTATTGATTTCTCTACAGCTCTGTAACAATAATATTGTTTTTATAAAGAATTTAAACCGGTAGTAAACCGAAGAAGCAAGAATAAGTGGCAAAATCATTGACAACTGATATAGAAAGCGAGGACTCGAAAAATACAAAGTGTGAGGAAAAAAAGCGGAGAATGGCAATTGCTTGAATACTGAAATTTCAGAAGAAAAACAAGCCCTGTGGAAGACTGTTAACATGACGATGAGTGTGGACCACGAGGTGAGATGCCGTCCGATTGCGAATTCAACAACACACAAGGACCCGCGTTGAATACATGAGTGTCGGTCAGGAGGCCCGCGTTGCGGCGCCACGAGAAACTGCAACTCCGCGCGCGCGACGTCGCTTTCGTTGCGCCATCGAAACATGTTTGCTCAGACCGACACTCTGAGTACATACATAAACAAGGATCGATTAGGAAGGGAAAACAATTCAACAGGAATTAAAGAAACCCGTGATGAGGGGTGAAAAAATGGATCCTGAGACGGGAGTGGGGATGTGGTAAACGTTACCAAACGTAATACAGCCAATTCCAATCGCAGTAGTTATTTTTCAGAAACTAGAACAATGACCGCAGTCAAGTTTCATAAAAAAAAGGACGCAATTTTTTTTCACAAAATAGTATGACCGTGGTGCATCCTAACTTCAGCCTCAATGGCAATAACACCAGGACACTTTACGACAGGAATCATCCGTAGGAACAAAACACTACTGTGGGCTTCTCATTGGACTAGCACATCTCATTGTTGCTGGCCGATGGAGACACTTCTTTGCCTTTGACCGCTTCGACGATTTCTCGGCGAAACTTGGCCAGGTTTTGAGTAAAGATATCCTTATTCTTCACTGTCAGCGACAATTCAACACCATCCATCAGCCCAATGAATGCCTATAAAAATTTTATTTGAAGGAGGAAAACAAAGAACAGCAGAAAGAATGCACACAAGATGACTTCGGTATTACAACGGGAAACACTAACTGGCCACAGCGCCAATACTACTAACTAGGTAGGGCATGAGGTCAACTCGGCCTACTTGAAATGAGGTGAATATCTCTATACGCGCCTTCAACGCTGAAATACGGGGGGGGGGGGCAAAAAAGACATTTTGTCTCCGCATTCAGATGGATTTAATCACACTTTGCTCAATTCAAACCGAATGGCTCCAACTTAGTATTGAAGAGTACATTTCATTTCTATAAGAAAATCTTCATAGTGGCCACCTACGTGGACGGCATCAGAAAAATTTGCCCTGGAAACATGGTGCACTGGTCGAGCTCAATGGGGTCTTTAAAAGAATCGTGTACCATAACGAACTTTTCTGAGAGCCGAGTTTCCAAGGGGGTTTGCATAGTGATAGCTAATGTCCTCTAGGAAACTATATCCACGTTACATCGATCCACGAAATTATGTAATAGCTTCAGGCTGAAGCAGTTACGGTAGGCCTCCTTGAGCTTGACGACGATGACAGATGACGTCATATTCTGAAGACGGTGAGGGCAGTGAAGGAGGGCCTGCGTCTACTTATAGAGGGACATTTAGGGAATATTTGCTGAGGAACTTCCGTCAACGACGGCAATCTCTGCGAAGAAAAAAGGCCCGAAGTGCGACCTGGGCAAAATGTCTTTTTTGCCCCCCCCCCCCCCCCATGAATAATAAGCTCCAACACCCTCAATAAAGATGTTCACCGCCACACCTCACATCGAACACTGACTTCTGAAATACTACAGGATTCAGCCCGGGGTCAAGTGTGCGTCGAGGAACTCAGGACGAGGGGTCCTACTTGGTCCATTGAGAGCGAGAGGAGTCCATAAGCGTCGGGATCAGCACGGAACAAAGCAGAGTACTCTGTTTGAGAAAATATGGGAATCGCAACTAGCGCTGGAGCTCACGGTGTGTCTTTAAACCAGATCCATAAATGCCATGCGCTTCAACTATTGTTGCGTGCTGCAATTAAACATTTGGTGTTTGTTTGTTTATTACCAATGTTGTGTAAAGGCAAGCGAAGAAATATGACTATACAACTCGCGACTGTAACAATCAACAGTTCCATAGGAACTAAAGCACACTAAAAACTCAACAACTGTTTCCTACTTACGTTAGACGCTTAAATAGACGCAAGGTTGGAGACGATATCACTACTGTAACTTTAGGAGACGTGAATTCAGACCCTGCACGGTAAGTGAAGCTATAACGCTTTAAATTCGTAAATTAAACAAATTAAATTTGTTTAAATATGTGTACAAAGATTAAGCGGTTTCCTAAAGGGGAAGACAGAAGGGCTTGATGTAACCACTGTGCAGGGCAAAACCGTGTTGACTTTATGAACATATCCATACTTCCTCAGTTGAAACCTTACAATACATGTTCACAGTTCTTAGAAAGAGGAATCCATGTAGATTCCGAATTTTTTTCATACATTTATTCAAAAATGAGATATGTTCATTGAAAAAGCGATAATAATGGAAAAAGAACCTTTCCACGGTACTTGCGCCAAAATTCTTAAAGTAACACTCCCGGCAGGGTCTGTTGCCTTCAATACAAATGGGGTTAAAGGATGCAGTAGCCCTATTGAAGAAAATATAAGGTGTAATTGAAAAGAAACCTCACCTCGGAAAGCCGCAAAAAGGGAAGGAAAACGCCCTTGCCATAGGTGTGGTTGAAACGCCACACCCACTTGCCAGCCGTGGAGAGCGCGGGCTTGGGTGCGGGTCCTTGCGCGATTGCTTGTAACTATCCCGCGTTTCGAAATTAATGCGTCTTTCCGATTGATTTTACGTGTTTAACTCATTGAATTATTGTACCTTCTTGTTTGTAATGATGCATATTTCTCAGTTTGTTTTAGGGCAAATGCAAGCCAATCCAGACAACTCGTCCGACTGCCCCTTCCCTCATTTCAAAGAGGGGAAGCCCCTGTTTGGAGACTTCGCCGGCGTTTTTCTTCGCTTTTTTCCTATTAGCAGTCAACTCGCCATCTACAACTTCATTATCGACCGTTTTTACCCCACGAATTCGATCTAGAAGTGTTGCTTTAACGCGTCCAGTTGGCCCATTGGAACTAATCACAATATTGAACATGCAATCACAGAATGAGCAAAATGTAATCCACAGCCTTCAAGTGTCGAACAAAGAAATCCGTTAAGGAGCAACCAAATAAGAAGATGCTTTGCACCACTCGGAAATCGAAAACCTACACTTGGTTTGGTTTTAGCCTTGCGGTTTTAAAATCCCGCTCATACAAAGCCAAGAAAACATCCCACCTGATCGAATGCCGCATGTCGATCCTCTGGTTGTTGAGAGATAATCTCGCGTTTGAAATTTGTAAAGACTTCTTCCTGAAGTGCGTAAAGTGAGAAAAGATTGAAGCAGAAACTACATCATAACTAGAACCCAAAGACTAGACACAAAAGTATCCTAACTGCTAATCGAATGTATATTTCACCTGCAAAAGGATCAGCCCGAGCAGAGGACGAGATATGCTCCACTGACATTTCACTTCACCAAACATCAGCGAAGTCATCATGGAGGTTAAAATCTGTGGAAAATCACATCAAAAAATTAGATCAAGGGGTAATTCACAGAACTTTGATAAAGCCATTAGCTATAAGGTATGTGAAACATACGTCAGACATAAGTTGCGGCTGGTTCTTGACAGCAACCAAGCACGAGTCTCCTTCTGGTTCCATCCCGACCTGAATTCCAGTTGAAATCAAGTCAAAAATGGTTCGACTAGCTAATGGCAGCAGTCGCCTGATCAAGCGTTTGATTCACCTTTTTCGTAAGCGCAGGAACTCTACTTGTATCAGGAATCAAAATGGGGGATCATTTTTTGAATGTCGAGTTGGATACAGAAATGACTTGCGAGGTTTAAAATCGAATGCACAACTTCTGTATTTTTATCTTCCTAGACAGATCTGGCACAAAAGAACTGGGCCTGAAACAAGCCTTGTTGGCCGGACGGCGTACAATTCAGGATTTGATCACCGAACCGAGCGCCTGGTAAGTAGTGCTACTTGCCACTACACCAGCTCCTCTCCCCTCGTGCTGAACATTACAAAGTGGTGACTTGTGGGTTAATTGACCATTCAGCAATATAACCAAGCTTTCGTGCAAAGTTATAGTTAAAATGTGGTTTTATGAACTTCGTGTTGCACCCATGTAGGTGGCCATTACCTTTAGATGTTTGAATCGGTTCGATACAGTTGTGTCGAACACATTTACAAAAATATACCAGGGGTATCGGATCTGCGTATGGCAAAACCTTCCACTACATTTCCTCTGCGCAGGATATCAATATGATGCAGTGCGCTGCAAAGACACAATCTTCGGTAATCTTTTTCTCAAATCTCCGGTTCAGCCGACAGCTAACAGCGTGGTTTCGTTATCCGTAAACTCTAGGAAAACTAGAGTCCACAAATTCACCGGGAAGGACCAGGCATTCGCCTCACACGCGTCTAATTGCGCTATCACAAGGACTGCTACCATTCCTGCATACTCAGGAACACCACAGCAAAGGCTTCAGATCTTTAAAGGCAAGGGAACCGAAAAAGCACCTTGGACAAGAAAACTTAGGGAATGATTGCAGCAAAATCTCCCAAGACTTCTCACTACGACTGTGTCTTGATCTTGAATTCATCCGCCGAATCCACCAATATGGTCACCTCGTGAGTGGTTCTTCAAAAAACGATGAGCATCAATGCCGGGGATACCTTTCCATGTGACAAGGCTGAGACATCAGCGTAAAGATAGCTGGAAGAATAAGATGGTGTTCTCTCGGCAATTAAGAGACAGTCCACTAATGGCGTGGTTTGCGCATACCATTTTGGAGACCCACAGCTGTTATGTTGCATTACTGCTTCAGCACCATACGGAAAAGCCACATGGAACCGTCCGTTCTCGTAACGTTGATGGACGACAAGTAGATCACTCCCAAAGTTGTCGTGTGGCTTGATTCGAAGGATGCAGACAAACAGAGTGGAAGCACCAAGTCTCTGCTTTGACATTGTCAAGACCCATTTGTCGAATCCACTCTTGCAGCATATGCCATTTCCACTTCAAAGTGGACGTTTTTCAAAAAGTTTAGGAGTTGTTTAGACGATCAAGAGCGTTTTTTTTTTTAATTTCCACCTGTCCTTTTTTTTAAAATAACCGCACTTCGCCGAGCGAAAGTTCCAAAATTACCGCGCATCAGTCAATTTATCGAATATTTTATCTAAGGATAGCCTTTAACTTTCTTGAGAGTGTGACCAGTTGATAGGAAGAACTTCCATGATGGTTCGAAAAGTGTTCCGAAACGCACGAAAAATGGTCAGGTCGATTGAGAAATGTCCACATCATTTGAAAAAAAGTCCGGGTTCCATCAGGAATTTCCCCACGGGAACATGATGCACGGTTCGAACTCAACGAGGTCCTAGACGGAACGTGGACCATTGCGACGTTATCCGAAACGCTGGTCGGAAGGGGTCTTCCATATTCACAGCTAGTGTCTCTAGGAAGCTATTCAGCACCTAATCAATTGAAGAAATCATGTAGCAGCTTCTGGCTGGAGCGATTACGGTAGGCTTCGTTGAGCTCGACGGTAATGGCAGACGACGACATATGGTGAGGGGGCATTGAAGGAAGAGTTCGTCGGCTGTGGGGGAACATCTAAGGAATATTCTGCGTGAAACACACATCAGCAGCAGTATCCTATGCGACGAGAAGTGTGATGATATATATGCACCATTAGCACGTAACTTTTCTACCCCAACTCCTAGTACGCTCGGCTATTCAGCAGTCTCAAAGCTAAAGTAGCGGTTCCCACGAAGAAGCATTACTTGACACTGATTTGGATTTGTGGCAGCACTGGCGAACCTTGCAGCGACTGAAGTTAAAGCTAACAGAAATCGGCCAATATGTATAACCTGGCAAAGTGTGAGTAAAGGTTATTCTTAGAAGGGTTACGAAGGCAGAAGGCAATAGGAATTGCCTTTTAGTAATTTCAAAGGTCACTTCTGGATGGGTGACCCATCCTTTTACAGTGGATCATGTTGAATTTCGCCCACATGATAGTACCTCTTACGTGTCAAAGAACCTGCCCAATGAAGTGACGCAGGAAAAATAAAAAGATAATCTGAGCTAGACCCATGAGACAACATGAGATGGATTCGACATATTTGTCGACTGAAATCCTGCTTGACGTAAAGCTTTATAGAAGATTTCCGCGTCTGCTCTAATTTTGGACAGATCAGCTGGCACTGCTAATCTTGCAACAGTGAGTAAAAACAAATTCAGACTCGGGGCTTCATTTCAGGAAAACGCACAAAAAAATTGTAAGGGATGAAATACATGGGGAAGCTAAATCGCGACTTCTCAGAGAAACCATTCAGTTTTGAAAGGTTGCTGATTTTTGCGACCAAAATGGCAAGAATCGGCGATTTCTTTTGCGATCGAAATGTGTGAGAGTGAATACTCCAATCATATCAGTAGTTAGGTAATCAACATACATGATATTTTACGTCCAAAGTTTAAACGGTGCTTGCAATCTGTGACACAATTTTCAACTTTTTCAAAGGCGCTTTGAAGAAACCTCACGAAAAAGTTCCCTTAATTACCTCGGATACATCAGTGAAAAAAATGAAATCGTTCAAGAGTACCTCATGCAAGTTTTGTGTCTCTGTAGAAATTCGAAGAACTTCCAGCCCAACATCCACATTAACTTTGCTTTAATCAGAATTTCAAGATTGCCAATGAGTATACAGCCTTGCAGATATACCTCTGGGTTATGATGTGAATTTATCGCTCTCATAGTTCATAAGTAGGTGGGTCAAGAGTTAAGGACCGAAAATGAGGCACTCGACACTCACCAACTTGTTTTGGAAATTTGTCATGAAATCTACCTCCACCTTGGATCGAAAACGTGAAACGATCAAACAAGCGCATGAAGCGAGGACCGACTTTCCGCATACTCACAGACATACATGGAAGGTCACGGTGGACTCATTGCAATACCAATAGGCAATGGTGAAAGATGCTGATTTTGAGGAGCTTCAAACTTCAAGGAGATATACGAACACGAAAAGATGCTTTAACTTTTGCGTTAGTCGAAACTTGCGCTCAAAATCTATAGGGGTAATTCGGTGCCCTGATTACGAAAATGACATTCATTTTTGGCGGTGGCGCCATCTGGCGCCAGTTGGCGCCACCTTGTCACGACACATGTTTTCACCAAATTCGGTGTAAAGTTCTGTATAGGGGTTATTTGATGTCCTGATCACGAATATGACATTCGTTTTTGACATTACCGCTGTTTACCGCATAATTCTTCCGCTTTTCTGGGCTCTCTCACCTATACATAGCGCCTTGGGACTAAGCTTAGGGGATAGGGAGACTCGGAATGAGTGAATCAGGCACCGTGTGACGAAGATGGAGCGTGTGAGATCACGTGGTAGAGGGCTCACTCACTGATATCTTTCCTCTCTCCTAAAGCTTAGTCCTGATCGCGATCTAGTCACTAGGAGGGCGCAGACGAAGAGATTAAAGCGCTAAATGGAGCTAGCGCCAAGAATGAATGTCATATTCGTAATCTGGACACCAAATTACCCCTACCCAGAAGTTTACATCGAGTTTGGTGAAAACAACTGTCGTGACAAGGTGACGCCACCTGGCGCCAGATGGCGCCCCCGTTGAAAATGAATGTCATTTTCGTAATCAGGGCACCGAATTACCCCTATAGACAAAGTTTCGACGAAAAATAAAATTTTGAGATTTTGGGGTTGTAATAGTTGAATAGTGCCCTTTTCTAATAACTATTATACGTATGCTATCTTAAGAGACTACTCAATACATAGCGATAGCATCGAGTAAGTACCTTTTGCTGTTTCAGAATGGCGGAAGTCAAAGTATGCTCGCTTTGCAGCTCCTGTCTACGCTTCTGAATGATTTCAATTCGGTTAGTCTCTTTGTTGATATGCTATACTGTGAGCTCAAATCCCG